TACTCAGGTACACTGATTCTTGCCATGTACCCCGAGGTAAATGAACCATTACTATATGGCGCATGTTTGCATCACACACGCAACTTACTTGTGATAGGGCATATGCATTCATCTAATGTTATATTAATACACGTTTTTGAATTGGCAGGATACTGTAATGAGATAAAAAGTCCATATTTGACCTTGTATAATTAGTAAATACGCTTTTATTAGCCTCTTTTACATTAATCAATTAAAGCCTAACGTTGGTTCTTATAATTGATTCACTTATTGCTTACTTTTTAACTCACCATTATAAGCTTTCATGTTTCCGAGCCTTTTATCTGCTCTTGTTCATGGGTTCTCTAATAATAAAACCATTGATTGGTCTCCATCACATTTGATTCCCATCTAATTCATAAAAGCATTAATAATCTAGTTTGATGGAACCAGCCAGATGTGCTAAGTATTGTCTCTTCGATTAATTGCGCATTTTTATTTATTTAAATATTAGATCCATTGTTTCAGTTATTATCATACCATATTCATGTCTCAGGAAATTTTAGTGTACCTCGCCATGTTTGCACGTGCCCAGCCTCAACTACTAGCCCAGATGCTGCGTCTACGTATCGGTTTGATTATCCAGATGATGGCAGCCGAGCTGGCCCGCAGCATGGGACATACTGCTGAAGAAGCACTGCTTTCTCTCTTTTCGATGACTCCTTTTGATACTAAACGTCTCTTGTACAATCTGCTCAGCGGAAATGAAATCCGCACTGTAAAAGCAGGTAGGCATTCTGTAGAAAAATGTTCCCGTGAGACGTGGAATTTCTATTTTTTCCTTCATAATGATTTGTAGATTTATTTCTCTTGAAGACTATTAAAGATAATTTTTGTACTGCTTATGAATTCTTTAACTCCACCTAGCTATTCTTAGAAATTTCTCCCCTGCTTCCATTGGACCACTGAGAGGGTATCTCGCCTTGTAATTCACCTCCTTAGGACAATTCTTAATTAATAATATAGTTTTATTGAAGATATGAAGACTAAGATGTTGTGGTATCTGGTATGGTCGCATGGGACTATGGAAGAACAGTAAGGACGATGAAGGATTCACATATGGATATGTCTACTTTCCTGTGAACTAACTCAAAAACTACGGCCAATATTGAGTAGATTGAATATTCAGGTGGCAATGAAAGAGAAATCAACACTTAACAGGTTTACCAACAATATGAAAGGGTAGAAAATTGGATTGTTCAGGAGTTTACTTTATATCATGCGGCGGCTGCGGACGGAAATATATTGGCGAAACAGGAAAAAAATTAGCACACGAATCAAGGAATATCAGAGGCTATGCAAGAAAATGGATACCGAAATATCAGAACTAGCGGAACACATCGCCAGACTGGACACGAGATCAATTGGAAGGCAACAGAAAGAAGAGCCCCATATGGTGATAACAAAAGGAAGCGGAAGATTAGGGAGGCCATTGACATGCTTAGGGAGAAAGGTGGAGTTAGCGATTACTTTGCCTACTGCCTAAGCAAACTTGGGGAAAAAAAGAATAGAGCAAGACCAGCAAAAAGAAGACCCCTGGGTCAAGGATTTACCGCTAACCGGATCGCGATGAAGAAAGTGGGAGACAGGGGTATTCGGCAATAAAGCGAAGGCATTGCAAGTGAGTGATGTCCGGTTCGAATAAACCAGTACAACTTTGGGGGCCTGGCAGTCAAGGGGCTGGGCAAAGGGATAAGCAAATCGTCACGGAAATTCGTCGTTACGGCCCAAATGTACTAGAATTCCACTTGAGATGCCGCATGCGACCAGAGATAGGCGCCCACACTTTGCTCAGATAAGATGGGTTTAATCAAAGAGGTGACCTGTAAAGGAAATGCATAATATCTGCAAGCATAGGAATCAGAGCTAAGGGCGCTCTACACAATGAAGCGGCAGTGTACGTGCTTCTAAGGCCTTGAGAAATAGCACCTGGAGTAAAATGAACACAGGGACAATAATAAGGGGATCCGGATTGGAGGCCCGAGTCAGATTAGCCGATCGAAAGACTGGGGTTGGGGCGAATAGCAAGTGTGATAAGGCCACACTAGATTTGCCACAAAGGGGCACACATTTTAATGAGCGGAATGTAAACAAGTGAGAAGTTGTGATAAGGCGGCAGTGGGATAAGAGGGTTAATAGTAGATAGATAGGCCAGGACAGAAAGAGGAGTGATAGTGTAACCGTTTTAGGCAGAACCTTTGTCGAGGGATTGACTTCACTTGTCTCTTTGACGAGTTCTTAGTTTGGTGCGGAGAATGACAAAACTCACTGATAATGTCGACTAAATTGCCGGCGAAACATTTGAGACTGTACCAAGTCCACTGTCTGATGCAGGGAACCATGACAACTACTATGGCAGACGACTTCAGACTAGGTGCGTTCTACTAAGTCACCCTGACAACAATACTAAGTTGCGACAACGAGGTCAATATGGCTTCATTTTCACAAAAAAGTCTAAATTAAGTATCTTAAGTGGGAGATTGTACTATGAATAGTACTCTCTTATAAACGCGTCTATTACATGACAGACGAAAATGATAACTACTTTACTCATCATATCATTGTGGGAAAATGCATCTATCAATCCAAGAGTGTATACAGCTCTGCTGGTAGTTTCAAAACCTATTCAATCTGAATATAATCTTGATATGTCTTAGATATGATATTATTTAGCCTATTTTATTATTTTTCATCCTGCCTACTTTTTAATTTATTCACAGTACTTTCTTCCCATTAGAGACTAGACTTTAATCAGAGTTACTATGGTAAGAGTCGCTAAGAAATTCTATTTTATAGGGAAACTCAGATGTTTTGTTTTGTTACCTGAGGAGAATGGTCGATACTTGCTTAGGTTTCCATGCCTTATGGCAAGTATTAGGTACTAATGTGATTAGACGATTGTTATAAAGACATTTACTGCTAATTATTATATGCGAAGAAAAGTTGGGTTTTTCTCTTGCTTAATAATTGTTGAACTTACTTCCATTTCTAGTAAAAGTGTTTGGTGAGTAGATTCGAAAGGCCGATTCCACCAGAAGACGACAGCGGATTCCTCTTGACCAGCTGTCGATTGGCTTTACTGTAGCATTCACATCTTAGCAGATTACCTCGGAAACAGCGTCACTATGACTGTTCTAGTAAAGCCAATCAACAGCTGGTCAGGAGGAATCCGCCGTCGTCTTCTGGTGGAATTGACCTGCGAATCTTTTCACCAAACACTTTCACACGAAATGGGAAGTAAGCTCAACACTGATAATTTTTAATCATATTGAAATTAGCTTTGTTGGCAAAATTTATATTCGTTCTCTTAGTTATCACTCAAGAAACTCTATTATCTCAGCCATATTTGGTTTTCAGTTTGTTTCTTATCAAGCCTTTAATTGTATTAGATTTCATTTCAATACTTTAACCTATCAGTTTTAAGTTAATATATCTTCCTTTTTAATACATTTCTACTCAAAATTATATCTTGGATAATACTCATCTAACTTCTTTTAACGCGTCAATGCTTCGATTACAGAGCATGTTGGGGAGCTATAGGGTTATTTTTTATTTACATAATTTAACATTGCAATCAATCTGGTTAATTTAAAACAATAAATTATCTAAACTATCCTCGCTATGCTGCCATATGGCAAATTAATCATCCATATATCTAACTAACAATTTAAGTGTGAATCTTACCTCTTCCATGAAGTCTTCCTCCATTTTTGACATGCAATTATTAGCTAAACTGGGAGCCAAGCAAGATCACATTACTAGGTCTTGCGTCTGTTTATGAGGATTGCGAGAATAGGCATTATTT